TTGTCAATAGGAGGTTTCTGTCGACAGAGTTAAACGCGTTTGTGTAGTCCAAGAAACAAACGTGAACAATTTTGTGTTTTTGGTCTATAGTGAATAAAACAGAATGTATAAGACGAGCAACCGCATCTAAAGTAGAGCGACGCTTACAATAAGTAAACTGATTGGAATCACGAAAATCAAGATTAGAGGATAGGTGTTTGATAATAATACGCTCAAAAGTCTTAAGTAATACTGAAGATGAGGCAATAGGCCGAAACTTACCCTTTTCTTTCTTAGGTAATGGAATGATGTGCATATCACGCCATGTGTTAACTAGTCTTCCTTCTGATGGACATGTGTTAAAGATATATGAAACGGTTTGTGCGAGGTGGTTTGCACTTGTTTTAAGGACCACTGGGGATAACCCATCAAGACCAGCGGATTTATTTCCATTGACAGCATTTTACTCTTTTAAAACTCGCTCTACTGTGACAGACAGGAAGGTGGAAATCAAGTGACGTTGTGTTTGAACGCGGTAAAGCTTGTACAACGTTTTTCACTGAAGCGGAAAATTTGTAGAGCTCATTGATATCACATGAGACTGTAGTAGGTAAAGTTGAACGACCACAGAGCAACTTCAGTCCGTTCCATAGCTGACGGCAGGGTTTGTCTCTTAGCGCGGTGTCAGCATACAATTGATTGAGATAGGCTATCTCGCTTCTGATGTGAAAGTTGACAGATTTGACCGTCAGTTTATCTCTCGATCGATACGCCCTTTCTTTTAGCCGTCGTAACTATTTCAGTCTATCGGAAATGAAGCGGTTGGGCTGTAGGTGAATCCTTTCTTGAAGGCAGTACACATCATAACAATAGTTGAGGTAATTGGTAAGGTTCTCACAGAAGATTGAAATATTAGGTCGAAGAGTTGTTGTAAGTCCGTACCGCCAACCATGGATTTTGATTCCATCAAATTGGTGAGATGATTTTGTCGCAAACGTATCTTACGTGCATCGTTCTTTATCAGGATTTGTTGCTTGCATTTACCATATGTTGTAGGTAAAACTTTAATCAGACAGTGATCGGAATTGCCTACTGGTGCACGTTTGAAGGCACGGAAAAAAATGGTTCGTTAACGAAAAGGTGGTCCAAGGAAGCATCGTTTCGAGTGAAAAAAGTAACAATGTTCTGAAGGTGTTCGTCAAGAGGCATATTTGGCCATTCCTGATCAATTTCTACTAGAGGACGCAATTAGTGGCTTCCACAATGTTGGTATTGAATGAGCAACTGGAAGAAAGCTGTACTATTTAGAGTTCCCTGACGAATTCGTTGGTCTTTTCAGATGTATGGAGGATGCACAAAGTTCTCTTGACAGACTTGGAATTCAGTGACTCCTTTTGGTATGCGCTTTTTACCTTCAAAGTGCAGTACTCCTACAAGATTGGGTGCCGTATATTGATAACTGATGGTCAAGAATTAGCTGTGGTGGAATGTTTCCCCTACTTAGGTAGTTGTGTGACAACTGATGGTAGTGTAGTCAAGGAAGAAACCGCCCGCATTTCCGAGGCACGAACGGCTTACACAGGGCTCAAACACCTTGAGTGCAGATGTGGTTTCCCTGAAACTGGAAGGTTGTGTATACTGCGCCAATGTGTGGTCAGTTCTGCATTATGTTTGCTCGTCGAAGATATATATACGATGAATATGCTCAGCCCACCCTTAGCTGTCAGAAGTATACAGGTCCAGGAACACTGTGATTGTTGGTCGATGACGTGTGTGGCGCAATTTGGGGACTTGACGCAGGGTGAACATTTAGTCGATACAATCCCAACCTGGTCGAAATCCTGCTTGCTGTTAGCTGATATCCCTCTCCCTTGAGGATCGCAGACGTCGAAGAATCACAAAATGTTAACTTTTGTGATGATCTGAACTAAACTTATCCTGCGGTGGTTTGCGCAGTCGTGTGTGATCCCTTCTTGGAGATCATAAGGATGAACGGCTTACTCCAGGATAAAGGTATACGCTCCTCCGCCCAGATGCTACGAGGTGAGCTAGTAACCAAATAGAAGATAGTTTGAAAAGCATGGGGAGGAGCCCAAGGCTTCAGTATGGTTGGCGGTGGGTGTCCAGGGTTGCGGCTGGTCACCCTGCCCTTGCACCTCACGAAATGCCCCCATACGACCAAGCGTCTCAAATAGCCTCT